GTCACAAAAAATCATAACATATACTATAGCGTCTATCAGTACACACAGTCACAAAAGATCATAACATATACTATGGCGTCTATCAGTACACACAGTCACAAAAAATCATAACATATACTATAGCGTCTATCAGTACACACAGTCACAAAAGATCATAACATATATTATAGCGTCTATCAGTACACACAGTCACAAAAAATCATAACATATACTATAGCGTCTATCAGTACACACAGTCACAAAAAATCATAACATATACTATAGCGTCTATTAGTACACACAATCACAGAAAATCAGAACATATACTTTTGCGTCTATCAATACACACAGTCACAGAACATTATAACGTATACTATAGCGTCTATCAGTTCACAGAATCACAGAAAATCAGAACATATACTATAGCGTCTATCAGTTCACACAGTCACGGAAAAGCATTACATATACTATAGCGTGTATCAGTATACACAATCACGGAAATTCATTAAATACTCTATAGCGTGTATGGATGTATGGCCGATAAACCAGCACGATATTAAAGCAGTCAGAGCATGTAGTTAGTCGATCGGTTGTGTCACTTTAACCAAAGCTATGCCTGCATCCGGGTATGTTATTTCCAACGACATGCATACACATATATGATAGGATAAGTGTTAACAACCATCTGAGTTTCCTCACCTATTATTAGCTATATTACATATATAGAGAAGCTTACCCTCATGTCTTTTGATATCAAATATATCAAACACGAGTCGATAAAAGTTTTTATTACAAAAATCGTAAGTGCATTGTTTCCGTCATCAGGGCGGCATTATTTACGTCATTCGAATCTCATTGTGACGTAAGGACGGGATGACGTCATAATAGAAACGCCGTCATAGCTGAAGCTGAATTATGGTTTGGGGGGACAACGCTGGTGATCAGTGCAAAGGGATTAAGAAATAATGGGTAATAAAGAATTATTACACTCAAGTGTGTCATGCTGATTTTACGAAACCTGTGTAAGAATTCAGGTAATTAGATACAAGATAACAAGAATTCTCACACTCATTTCGTAAAATCAGTATGACACAGGAGCTCGTATAATAATCTCTTTAACCGCCCGAGGCTTTATGAGTGTTTGTTATAGTTGATATCAAGAGGCACTACGGTGAGATTCCATTTATCATCCAAAATCTTTCTTTCAAACTTTTCAACTTTGAAAGATGTACAGCTTACCAGCTTTAGTGGCAGACAGATTAATGATGTCATTTGATCGTGACGTCACGGTAACCGATGATGTCACAATGGTTTGCAAAGCATTGTAATCTAATTTCATTGTAGCGATATCTCCTAGGTAATATCACATAATCTCATCAATCGATATCTTCCATGTCCATGTCCGCTTTCTCAATAAACGATAAAAATCCCCAACTTTGAATGTAATTAATTCTTGTGCGTTGTACGGACTATGGGCAGCGCGCAGGGAGAGGAGTGTTTGTTTTTTTGTTGCCCAACGGAGAAAGTAAAACATTGTGAATAATATAAATACATTGTCCTGAACGAAAATATAGAAAGGTGTATGAAGACACATTTTCCATACGTGAATGCATAGACCCTGCATGGTAAGTATTTGTATGTTCAATACTGCGAGCATATTTGGTCAGCCCCGAGTCACCTGGTAATTGGTCAAGCATGCGACTGGTTAAATCATCTGAACAGTTTCATGTGTACAGGTGAGGAGAGACATATGTATCCTGTCTACCTGTCACTCAGTCGTCTGTCTCCTCTCCTCTGTATACAAAAAAACGCTCTCAACAATTAATTGTTTATCCGCCATCGATCACACTCGTGTGCCTTGGCTATCGTTCGGCTTCGTTGCCTTATGAAAACGTCCACACGTCAGCCAGCCTGGCAGTGTCAACGGGTTCTCGTGAACTACTCCCGGCTGTAATCGTACCCATACATACAACATATACTGAGGTAGGCCTGCATTAGGTGCGTGTGCACTAATTACATGCAAATATGTCTGGGGAATAATGCCACATAGACTGTTTTCTGACAGCGTGAAAAAAGATCCCATTCGAAATGTAATTACCACTTTCATTGAAAATACGACTCATTTTAATGGTTTGGTGATTTGACAAATCGTTTTATTATGATAGTTATGTTGTTTCTCAGGTCGGTGTATCTTGTTTGTTTGTTGGTAAACGCTGCAGTCAGTAATATTCCAGCTATATGACGGCGGTCTGTAAATAATCGAGTCTGGACCAGATAATCCAGTGAATGACATCATGAGCATCGATCTACGTAATTGGGATACGAGGACATGCATTAACCAAGTCAGCGAGCCTGACCACCCGATCCCAGTAGTCGCGTTACGACAAGCATAGACCAATCCTAACCCGGATCTTAACGGGTAAATAGAATTGTTAGATGATAGATGCAGTTCGCGACGAAAACACCCAAGACAAGCATCGTGTCGCAAAGATGTAATTTGATCTAAGAGTTATCAGTGAGTTTGCCTTTTAAGTCTCCTTCAACACCGTTTCTGCATAATCACGGCAGAGACACCAGAAATGGGCTTCACACATTGTACATGTATAGGGAATGGAACCCGGGCCTTCGGCGTGACGATTGAATGCTTTAACCACTGGTCTAGCCCACCGCCCCTATTGTCGGTTAAGTATACTGTTAGGTAGGTCAAAGATAGTTATTGCATGTAAGGCCTCCGGCCTATATACAAAGTTGTGACAAATAAGTAGTTTAACATATTCGGATATGTACTCATGTTTAACAATTCGTTTCTGAGAGAAATTGCATTTTTAGCATATTTTGCCAGTTTTAAAACGACAGCATTATCTTTTGAAGAGAGAAGAGAAATATAAATATAAACTTGTTTTTTTCGTCACAATAATGACATACAAAAGTAGAATAAATTTCATTTTCTATAGCTGAATGAGATAATGGGCACAACCTCTTCGATTTTTCAGTGGACATTTTCTTCATTCATTTATTATGAGATGTAACAATCCAAGCCTAAATGAAATAAATGGTCGAAGGGTTCTTGATGTTAATATAGATAAGTATTTTTCTGGCTAAATATGATATATACAAATCATACCTTGAATTGTTTTCTAGAGTAGACTGTCATTCTTGGTAAAAGATATTTATAGATTTTTTGTACGAAATTGTTTCAAAACGATTTTAACATTACCAACTGTTTCATTTAACCAAACAAAGCCGTAGCCATGAGAAAATATAAGGTTTCTAATACGTGGTACCCATGTTACTTTGCCCATGTCGTCTAAATGTACAAGCAAACATATTATAAGCAGGTTTGGGGATTCGGCGTGCACGCATCCCAAGAATATGAAACCAGTATTTCAAGCATCTAATTTGGGAGTTGATGTATAACGGGTTTCTGCCACTCTCGCCATAGACCATACAATTGGGTGTTGATGGACCAACAGATAAGTATGTGTTCTCACCAAACAGACATTGCGTGAATGAATGTGAGTTTGGAGTACTATGTATCACGACAATATACAGGCTATATCGTGGCGGCCTGTAAATGATACAGTTCGGACCAGGCAAACCATGCAGTGACAGAACGCTTGAGAGACGATCCACACCAGTTTGGCACGATAACACACAGCCGTCTCCGTGGGGAGTTTGGGTTAGAGTTGGTCCCCAGCACAATAAGCTGGTAGTAAGAGGTGGCGTGATGTATCAGCTGGTCCGTCCAGCTGACTTGGTTGATTGTGTGTCATCCTACTCTTGTCGTTGTGGATCGTTGCTCGTAATATCAATCACGGGTTCGTCTGGTCCAGACTCGATTATCTACAGGTCGGCGTCTTGTGCCGGTAACTTGAATATTGCTGAGTGTGGCATTAAACATTGACCAACAACAGACAACAATAGCTAAATCACAGAGCCTGATCACCCGATCTATATTGCTAGTCAACTCTTACGACCAGAGTGAGTGAGTTTTGTTTTACGCCGCTTTTAGCAATATTCTAGTAATATCACAGTGGGGGGCACCAGAAATGGGCTTCACACATTGTACCCATGTCGGGAATCGAACCCGGGTCTTCAGCGTGACGAGCGAACGCTGTAACCACTAGGCCACCCGACCGTCCCCTTACGACCAGAGACACGTGAAGATCCGGATCAAAATTGGTCTTCAACAACCCATGCTTGTCGTAAGAGGCGACTAACGGGATCGGGTGGTCAGGCTTGGTTGATGCATGGCATCGTATCCCAGTTGCGTAGATCGATGCTCATGGTATCAATCACTGGATTGTCTGGTCCAGACTCGATAATTTACAGACCGCCGTAATATAGCTGGAATATTGCTGAGTGCGGCGTTACACAACAAAACAACCTACGACCAGCGTGGGTAACTAGGGGAAGTCTCTACCCCGATAAATACAATTTAGCTAACAATGTACCCATGTGGGAATCGAACCTGGACCGCAACTTGCGAATGATCAAAGCACTAGCTACTCCACATCCTCCAGGTTTGAGGGATGGCAACAATTTCTCTTGAAAAAAATCTAACCTTTTTACGTTATTCATAACAATACACCAACTGGTCGGTTTTATTTTTACAAATGTCTATTACTAGTGTAAATCAATTTGTAGTAAATAATAGATTATAATCATATCATAACTTTTACATACAACCTTCCAATATACTCCGACGAGGAATTACATTCAATTCTGACAAGGACAGTTACATCGGAGATGAATGTTGGATTAAGACAAGCTATATTTCGTTAACATAAATTATCTAAACAAACATCTGTAGTACGATAAAATTACATACTGACAGCCGTACAACAATAGTGAGGATATATCTAACGAGGATGACACTCAAGTGTTGGGAATTCAAACCTGAAAACAAGTCGATGACCAGTGTAGGCCTAATACAAATATATATACCTGTGCACTGTGTGACATACACCCGTATGCTGATACACAAACACTTACGTGACAATAACGGTTCGTTTACTTACCTTGTATACAACACAACCTCTCACAATAGATGAATGGGCAGAATCAGTTGATTTTCACCCTCGGACCCCAGCGAGCCCTCCGAAAAACAGCGGTCATACAAGCGACCTGACCATATTGATAACCGTTCATGACTAGTCTGGTCGAGTAAAGATAAAAGGCGGGATGGCTATCACAGCGTAATATCCCGACACTTGTCAATAAATCCTCGTCCGAGCATCGGGGGTCCCATTCGATAAAATCTCACCTGTCACGAACATGTGACATCGTGTGCTGACATTTTAAGCCGTCCTTAAAAGTGTACATGAATTTATTTGCTTGCGCAGCGCAATCATTTCAAGTCAGAGGCATGTTTGAATCGCGGCGCGTAATTATGAACTGTTCGATATAATCAAGGCGATGTAAAATATTAGTCTGTGATGTCAACGGTCTATTAATAGGCAACAGCATGGGACGAAAATAATCAATAAACAGTGTTTGTCTTCTGTGTGAATTTGATGCTCCTTGGTTAATGAGTTCGTAGCGACTGTGTGCACTAAGTTAATTTTCATATGCTTTTAATTTGAATGCGTTATGGCGATTAAAAACGTTCGATTGCCCATACGTTTATGAATACAGTCAACACAGCCTCAATGTTTTGATCGGGATTGCTTGGAGATTGTATGTCACGTGACATACTGCACATGCGGTTTGTTACTATTTATAGCCAGACCAAAATAAACAAAATACTTGCTCACTGACATTTCGTTAAATGTTCCCTGGCAACTCTTGTGCATTCCCATATTTCAAAAATGAAATTGTTGAATATTTTGTGCATTGAAATTAAATAATATGCTAAGATTATTCAGATTTTGCGTTTTGTCAAGTTATTGCCATAGCCCTGCGCAGAAACGGTATCTAATGTTACCCACAGTACCACTTATATATGTAGTTGTTTAACAACTATTTTCTTTACAAAGATACCAATTGGTAACATTATTTAATGAATAAAACACACTTGGAATTGTGGTTATAAGTTTTTTATAATTTTAGGTTACTAGAAATTCAAATATCAACTATATCGAGACAAGAATGTTGTGAAAACAGTGATGTTTTTACAAGATACTAGCATTTCAGACCAATAAGAAGCAACAATGGCGGACGGCATACGAGACTCGACTCTTGTTGATTTTCAGGTCTGTCCCAATGGTTATCGGGATATCTAAGTTTCATTTATTTGTATCGAATAATTGTTGATAGTTATGACTTTAATTTCGTGTCCTTCTTTTAAATTTAACATGCCGTAGAAGGAAAGTCTCACTCTATGACACATCATTAACAAACGCTTTGCCAGTCATTGAATCAGCTGTTCATGTTTGGAATTTATGACGCACAATCCTTCGGAATCATCTCGATCGTGCATTTCACCGTATATCTGCGTGCTTCAAGCTTTAAAGACGTTTCGGCTAAAATAGACAACATGGCTAATTAGATGCATACTAATAATACAGTGCATTAGGATAGTACACCCAGTGGCTGCTTTTCCTGACACACACTACATAGATTTTGATGGGAAATTTCCACACTCAATTTTTGGCATCCCAAAACAAAATTATTAATTATGAGTAAATAATAAGTGGGTTATAACTGACGAGCAGTCATAGTATAATTTAAGAGATCTGTTCTAAGAATCCATACTGTTAATTCTAATTGATGATTGATCAGTTACTCTGACCCGATACAATGATCAAGTATAATCAAACGTGGAGAAAGATTAGTTCTTACTGTAAAATTTCTGGGATAAGATATAATGGATGTTGACGGAATGATATTGTAATTGAAATTAACTTGTGCTAGTGAATCCCACACCATTGACCATGTTGACAATCTCATTAAAATAGTCTTTTCTTAGTGCTAGCTACCGCTACACATAGATCTGGGAACATCCCATTACAGGTCACATCAGAACGACCTTTCATCCGACCAATCAGAGCATCGCTTACTAGATCGCGAAAGTGAAAGTCTGAATGTGTTTACTCGTCATGCAACCTTAAAAAGGTGAACACAAGGCATTCCGAACAACAGTTACAGGTGTAAGGACTGATTGTGTCAAAAGTATTGCCTATCTCTTGCTACAATGGGACACGCATTTGAAAATTATATAAGTTAACCTAAAAATACATGAAAATCCTATCCAACCTTACGCTTTGTGTCTACTTAAACAATCAAAGGGTAGCCATTTTTGCTATAGATCTTTAATTAATAAATACACAGTTAGTAATCAACACTACAGAAAATTGCAACATATACTTGAAAACATTTAGAATTACATATATTGGATCTTTATTTCTTTAACAGAGACCAAGAAGAATTTGTTGCCTGGAAAAGTTCATTCTTAATTCGATTTTATCTTGAAGCCAACTTTGAAGTTCTTGCCAGATAGGCGTTACCTTGCTACAGTCTGGAAATAGATGTGAAGCACTTTCTTTAGAAGCTGAACAATAACTTCAAGTGTCGTAATCCACATGTCCCATTTTAAAAGTCTACTGTTTGTTGGTAGAATATGGTGTAGGATTTCATTTTGAAACCATTGAAGGTTTAGTGTCTCTTGAACATTGAAATGGTATGTGGTTATATAGTTGCCATATTTGTATTCGAATATCATTTTCAAGTATATGTTGCCATAACAGTGTATTTATTAATTAAAGATTTATAGTAATACTGGCTACCCTTTGATTGTTTAATTAGACACTTCAAAGTGTAAGGTTGGACCGGATTTTTAGGTTTTCTTATTTAGTATTATTTGTGGAACATAATTTGTTTATTGTGCTTATTATCCCTCTATGTTCTAAATAATTTGCTTTTGCGTTGAACTTACTTATAAATATATTGTATGGTAAAAATTGTCCTGATGCCTTGAGCATGTCATTCACATAACGTACCCCCTTCTCATTCCAGTTTGGGTAGTAATACTAGTATGTTACTTTTCTGCCAATTGGAATGTTTTAATATACCAGATATGTTGCGAAATTATATTAATATTTTCACTGTTGTCCTTCTCAAATCTAGAAGTAAAGTCCCACCAGGCAGAAAGAAGAACAATTGAACTTACTGCAAACTAGTGGGATGATAACACCTTTTAGCTTTTCACAGTTATAATCGAATATATCCGAAGATCCCAGATTTTGTAGATAGTTGGAAAATAGTTCATGTCCTTTCGATGACTTTGCATTGAGTCTTCTTGTCATTGAAACTTTTTGTGCTTGTATTATTTCCTTCATTTTCGGTATGACTAAACCTCCATCTTTGACGCTACATATCTGTTGATCTCTTTTCACTTTGTCTGGTTTATTTCCCCACATGAATCTAATACATTTACGTTGGAATTCTTCTACAAATGCATCTGTGAGTGGGTTCGGGAGGGAGGAAAAAAGATGATTTAGTTTTGTAATGATATGTGATTATAATATGCAGTTTTTTCCCAAAGTCGAGAGGTTGCACGCTAACTGGATGGACATAAGCATCTCACATTTTCTAAGTGTATCTTTATAATTTAGTTCAGTCATGTCAAGATGAAGGTTAAATTTTATCCCAAGTAATTCAAATGTGTTCTGATACCAGTTTAGTCTCCATTTCTGACACAGCTTCATTGGTGAATGTTTTTTCGAGCCTATCCAAATATTTCTAGTTTTATCAATATTTACTTTCAATCCCGAGAAACAGGCAAAGAATGTTAACACTTGTAGCACTGTTTGTAGTCAGTGTTCCGAACCATCTAGAGAACAAGTAGTGGGAGTTAAGTTAAGTCCCTTTGCAGTGCTAGGATCTGCTGATATTGGATTTGTATTCACCCTGATTATGATCCTAGGTCTATCAGCACCTTACCTGTGTTTGTTCATTTCACTACACCATTTATGTCCACAACCTGCATCACTGAGAGCTTTCCTCCCATATGAACCTCATGGATATAGCTGCCATGAATAGATGTTATTTATATCGCTGTGCAGAGTTGCGTCCCTTACGCACGCCAGAAACCTGTGATTGTGGGTTTGAATCCCGGGTTCACCCCGATTATGTTTCCAGGTTTGTCAGCACTGTACCCGTGCTTGTGGATTTCACCAATGTGGTAAACGTCCGAGACCTGCATCACTTCAGGCTTTCCTCCCCCATTAAGCTGACACAGTGATATAACTGTAATTATGTTAAAAGCCATGTTAAACCCAACTCACTCACTCACTGATGTTATTTATATGCTGCATCAAACACTCATTACAAATTCAGACGTTTATTTGGCTCTATTTCTCTATTCTCTATTGCATTTTTTTCAAGTCACAACCATCTACTCTGACTTTCCTGATGTTTTAGCGTTATGGCAATGCTTCAAGGTCTTTGTGCACTATGTTCCTCCATCACCAGCCAATGTAAAGGGTTCCTTTGCAGTGTAATCACTATTGTTAACCAACAAATCGAGTGAGAGGGAAGCCATCGTGTGCTCAGACCAGTGAGTTGCCAGATTACATCGCACAAAAGTTGATGTGTCTCACTTGTACCACAGCCTTGCAAGCCGCCCTGCTCTACACATCACTTCCATGCAGGCAATGCAAGCCTGGGTTCAGACAATGATCATGCATGGAGTAGGGCTCTTTTGAAGTCCATCATTAATAAACAGACCACGTAAAACAGACATGTATCATTACTACACTGCATAGTGTCTGTATGTATTCAAGAGTGGTGGAGGAACGGCATGTATACAGATCTTTGAGTCAAAGTACACAATGGCATAATGATGAACCTAGCTTCGGTAACCGTATCTCTGGGCTGCTCCCTATGAACGATTTTCATATTGTCTTGTCACCACCCAGAGCTACGTGCTGTCCCATATTGTTTTCCTAAAAGGTTCCCGATTCGGGAACATACCTCACTAACAACCCTGTCATAGTGTACATGAATTGTAAAACCACGAAAATTGCAACACAATTCTCTTCCTAAAACACTTGGCTTCAAATATGTGTCCCATAGCAGGGCTGTCCCATAGCAGGGCTCGATTTAACTATATAAAACATGCACCTGTGCAACCTATTATTGAGAAATGCAACCTACTTGTGGCTGACTTACTATTAGTTGTTCACACAACATTGATCTTTGAACACGATACCTCTTAGCTCTTTACCATACTATGTCACTAATCCAGCTGTTATGTGTATTTGCCATGCTTTCATGGGCTTGATGTCATGAAACTGTGGACACTTTAAGATTGTGTCCACATGTTCCTGTAACATTTACAGCAATACGTCATTACTGTCACTGGCAGCAGGCCTATGTTTCAACTTCGATAAATTTATGGGACCATGGTGCAACGTGTTTTTTGTCTGGTGCAACTAGGTTTTCATGTCAGCATGCACCTGGTGCAAGTTAAGTCCAGTTCCTTGAATCAAGCCCTGCATGGTGTTTTGCTAATAGATACCTGATTGAAATCTTCAGCAAATTGCATGCGTTGTGATTTTACTCTTTCCTTCAAATATCAGTACTTGTATTTTAGATCTTTACAGGCAAAGATATATTTTTTTCACCATTGCACTTAGTGATGGCGGCCAAAGATCTGTACCCTTTCGGTTATTCAACCCCGATAAGTACATAAAAAAATTCCATGATTGAACGTATCAGGATACATATTTAATGGCAAGTGTTTTAGGAAGCGAATCGTGTTGCAGTTTTCGTGGGATTACGATTCATGTACATTATGGAAGGGTTCTTACTGCGGCAGGTTACGAATCAGGACTTTTAGGCATTGGTTTTGCCCATGTCTTTAGAAGTTAAGTAGCCTAGTAAATGAGTAACCAGCCTGAGATGAATCAGAATTCCTAGTCCTGCACCATGACCGTGGAATATATTTCTTTTATGAAAAAATAATAATCTAGAAATGCATACAAAAGCAAGTCTAGCCAGCTCAAGCTAGCTCTATTCCACATAGGGACATTTTTTTATTTTTAGAGTCAAGAAGGATATTGTGTAATATAAGATTTCAGAGACTAAATGTTAGTCTACAGGATTCCCTGACCTGAGAGATAACATAGCTATTATGATAGAAGGATTTGTCAGACACAGTGTGATATTTGACTATCAGGGATCTCTGACAAGGTTGATCCACCATCAGGTGCTCTTTGAACTGAGAATTAGTAATAAGTCCATTTATATT